TTTGTTTTAGGCCATATTAGTATATTACAATATTATATTCATGAAAACGTGCTGAAGTTTTCAATGGAAGAATATCACCGGTGGAGAAAACTAGAATCTCGCTTTTTTTGCTATCTTTGGGATCGATTAGCACTCAATGTGATACTTAATTATATTCAGTATTGTAAATGTGAAACTTTTTCATTTTGCACTGGAATTAAATTGTATTAAAGTGTGAGACTTATTTTCATACAATGCAACCTATGAAATTTAATGAAATAACTCAAAAATGCAATGAGCACGTGACCATAAAAATATTCAAGAATTTGAAATGTAAATTGGAAATACTGTTTTTGTCTTGATTCTTCTATGAAAGCGTTGGTCCAAGGTAGCTGTTCTGCTCTTATTTAAGAAAAATTGTAATGTTTCATATATCTTCTCTACAATCCCTCAAAGTTTTTTGGACGAGATTTCAATTCTCACTTAGTTTATCGCGGTCTAAGGTAAATTGGTTTATTCTTAATTTGCAAGCGTGCAAAATAGACTGTAATGAAGAGTTTTGATGAGGCCTCGATATTTCGGATAGTTTTCGTCAAGAAAAGCCGTCGCAAAATTAGCCTGGGGCTCATTTCATGTAGTCAATATTTTCATAGAAACACTTACTTCTATTTTATCCCAAGGCTTTTCCCTATCGCTGATGGAGGAAACATAGTAGGTCCTAAAATGTTCTCAAATAAATAAAACGCACAGCAGCAAGGTCCTGTTTTTTTTTTTGTGGTGTCGGAAACTCAAAATAGACACCGCAGTAATCGTTTTTCTGGATAACAAGAGCATTTCTGATTTTACTCTTCGGTAAAATTTAAAGTTATGTTTATTTGTACCATATATAAGTATGATGATGATCATACATGGTGTGATGCTTTATAGATGTGACGGTGAACAGTTTGCATCCCGGCGTCGTGGCCACCGAATTTCTGCAGCACATTCCGAACGAATTGGCGAAAACCGTCGCTAAAACCATGGTGGGGCTGTTCAAGGTAAATAAAGAATGACACTTTTGATGGATCATCACGCGTAATCTTATCTGAACCGTATTCGAAAATTTACTCAAGACTCCCGAGGAAGGTGCGCAAACGCAGATTCATCTCGCTGTCTCCGAAGAGGTCGAGGGCGTGACTGGGAAATATTTCTCCGACTGCAAAGTGAGCACCCCTCTTCTGAAACCACGATTCCATAGATTCAATTCAATGCGTTTTTTTTCATTAATCAATCATTATATTTTCACTTTTGATGGAAGCGTGGGAAAATCTGCGGCTTTGTCTAATATGCAGAGGACAGGTGTCCAAAAAAAAGTTTCGCATAGTTTGATGAATGATGCGTGATTCGAACGACTATAATTTCCGGAATACAGTACTTCACCATGCCGATTCTTATTCGCGCAGCGCTCTTTTGTATCTAATTTTTTCGATGACTATTTTAGTTCAAATCCTTTCTTTTAAGCTTTACTTTTTAATGTAGAAGTATGCAAAACTATGTACAAATTTTACTGAAGTGGGGCCCTGAGATGCGGACATAACACTGATGTACCGTATATTCGTGTGACAAACTTGTGCACTGCGATTTGAAATACTGTACTAAGGTGCGGTAATCTGAATAAGTGGAAGAGTATACCGAGTACCCAAAACGTTCTCATCCCGGGAGAATTTTGAAATTCATGTGATTTTTCATGCTTCATCGATTATAATGAAAAAGCACATCATTTTACGGGAATACGGTATGTATCTATTATCATAGAGACAGTTCTAATTTGGCATTTTGAGTCAGCATTAATAAGCCGGCCAGTAAGTCAACTCTGTCATCCATTTCTGCACATGGGATATGGACAAATCAAAGACACTTTGAGCCTGGACAATTTGAGACAGAAACTTTGGAGATTGGGACAATTATAGACATTAACATTTAGAGACAGAGACAATATGCGACAGTCCAAAAGTAACTCTGCTCACATATTTTTTTCTTTTACACTTGATTTTCTGGTTTTCCCAAGACTCTTCGTGAATCTTGGAGAATTACATATTTCATATTGGGGAATTTTATATTCCAATTAAAATATGCTCATAAATGAAATATGCTTTTTTAGAAATATTCCATTATAAAACTGTACTTGTGTGCTATAGATTTTTTTCTATACAAGGTGTTTGTCTTAATTAGTGTAATTTTTCTTGACCATGAGAGAATATTTTGTGCAGTTTACCTCTCCCAATATTTAGAAAAATGCGGAAGAATATTCCGATGTTTTTATGTGTATTACAGTGTACTGTATTACAATGAATCAAGCAAGAATGAAAGTAAGGAAATTATGCTTCCTTCTCAAATAGTCCTTGTCTCAAAATTCTCTCTGTCTC